TTTTTTTTCAAGGGAAACTGTCTCAAGAGAGACAAAATTTGTTTCAAGAGAAACTATCTCAAAAGAGACAAAACTTAGTTCCAAAAGAAACTGTCTCAATGGAGACGAAATCTGTTTCAAGAAAAACATATTCAAAGATTTCGTTTCAAGGGAAACTGTCTCAAGAGGGAAAAAATCTGTTTCAAGGGAAACTGTCTCAAGAGAGACAAAATTTGTTTCAAAGGAAACCGTCTCAAGAGAGACAAAATTTGTTTCAAAAGAAACTGTCTCAAGAGAGACAAAACTTTGTTTTAAGGGAAACCGTCTCAAGAGAGAACAAATTTGTTTAAAGAGAACTTGTCTCAAGAGAGAAAAAACTTAGTTCAAAAGAAATTGTCTCAAGGGAGAAAAAGCTTAGTTCCAAAAGAAATTGTCTCAAGAGAGAGAAAACTTAGTTCCAAAAAACTGGTTCACAATCAAATCAAATCAAATTATAAACATGAGTTCAAAGAATATCAAAAGAATCAATAGCTCTTTATCGCTCTCAAAGTTATAGCTCTTTGACAAATGTCCAAAATTGATGAGTTGCTTTCAGGTTGGCTTCCTATTTTCTATGGTTTTGGCCACCAAAATGTTGTTTATTTCTCGTTCCTTTTGAATATCGCAACATTCCCCTATTTCTTGGTTTGACATTTTAATTGGATACGGACAAAATAACGCAATTAGCATAATCAATTACTAGACCTTATATTTTGGTTCTCTGAAATATTCCATTTGTTCAAGTTTTGTAACCTCCTCTAACAAAGGTAGTGTAGAAATATCGGTCTAAAAATGAAACTCTTGAGTGCTCGTGTGAAATTGACTATAACAGGTGTTTTTTTAACTCTCTTAGTCTACCATTACCGAAAATTTCTCGTTTAGATAAATTTGATTTAATTTGCCATTATCTGGCTAGCCAAATCCATAAAGCCTGGGCGTTTAACCAATTGCTTTATAGGGAAAGCTTAATATTATAATCACTTTTATCAGGTTAACTGAAGGGTTCATCTCATCACAAAGTCTTCAGCCTGACAATAGCAGTGGAGAAAACACCAAGTTGCCAAGTGTCCGAGCAATGTCATGGTTTAAACGCAATCTATTCATAAAGCCATGGCTTTCGAGTTTCCTCTATAACCAATTGCCTTAGCAAAATAGCTTAGTTTTTACGGATTTAATTTCTTAAGATTATCAAGAAGAACCTGTTATAGCCTAGGTACTGTTAAAAGTAAAGGAATCTCATCTTTAGAGTTTAATTTTCAAGCAACTGACCTAAACTAGATTCACTTACTCGATTATTCCATCTGTAAAGATAATGATTATCATTGAACGTCTTAAACAAAAAGTATAGTAATGTCATATGCAAAAGGATGCCCCATATTGTCTGCACCATATGAAAGGAAACGGTTATATTGGTTAATTGCAAGAGCAGGGTATGGTGTTTAAGGGTATATTCTGGGTAAGGTCAAAGTCCTTGCTTAAATTATGTTACTTTGTCAAAGATTTGTAACTCTGAACCATTTACAAAGTTTCTTAATTCAGTTGATATTCAAAGAATTGCAAGTTTGCAAATGTGATTCATTGCTCGTCATCATTAAAGTAACATAAATTTATTCAAATGTTCTTACAAAAACTTGAGAAAAAATGAAAAACAAACTCAAAGAGAATGCCTCAAATGATGAAATCGTCTTCCTCACTTGGATGCCCCCGAGTTGTTGAAGTCGATCCAATTCTTGTTATGTATTTTCTGTACGATTTTCTTGAATGTGGAGTAGTTCTCGATAGTGCGCCCTAGAACACTGCTATGATATTCGTAATGAGCATTCTCATCATACTACCTGGGGTACGGGGGCTTCATGGATTTCTCTGGATATGGTGACACCACATGTGCGTCAAACAATTGTTAGTAAAGCTCCTTATATGTCATAGGATCGAAATGTTCTCATCTTTTATTAGACATGTGAATGTAATTAAACGAAATAAAAATAAAGCAAAATATGCAAGAATGCATGATGCATGCAATGTTCGAGGCATTGATCCAAAAACATGCTTGTATTTATAAATAATCCTTATTGTGGAAAAAAGTGTTTTATCTTTTAAGAGACAAAAATATCCTGACAGCTTCTGACATGTTGACTAGTCTGTCACCGGTTGAATAACCTGTCGAACCGCTCTGGCTTCTCTGGATGAACCGTGCAAATGTTGAGTTGTTTTTTGTACTGACACAAGAAGTCTCGAATGACTGCATCTCTAGCATTTATCTTTTTTTGAATCTATTCCCAACGAATACGTCATTGGAGCCCTCAACTGATAGGAACTATGTGAAGTTCATTTGTCTGTTTCTTGAATTCGTCAGCAATGGTCTCTAATTTCAGTTATCATTTTTCCATTGTCGTCTTTGAAGGGACTCCTAAGATCAGTAACATTCATCTTGCCACTGCAACCTTTGCCAATCAGTTCTTCAAAGATAGACTTTCATTGTGCTTGATGTAGATCCGTTCATTCTGAGTCCTTTATAATGCATCAGAGTGATATACTTTTCAATTGTGGGCACAACATCTTCTGGATTGAATGTAACACATAGTCGCCTTGTAGACTGTCATCTGTATTTTTATCTCTTGTATTACAACCCCTTTGTCCATTAATGCAGATTATTCATGTTTAACAAATATATTTTTGGTGGATCAATACCTCTTTTAAATGATGCGAATGATGAAAACAAAATAAAAGAGAACAAAAAAATAAAAGAGTTAGCGAGGTAAATCAAAACAATAATAAAAATGAAAGATCCTACCCCACATGATATTTACTACACATGCTTTAATTTCTACCCGGACATGATCTCTATCCCGTATGCTAATTTCAAACAAATTCTAACCGCATATTTTTCTAGTTCGCATGCTTTGAACAGAAAGTAAAGGGAAATAACTCAAGCATCCTAGGTTTTGAAATGAGGTTTTGGGGTGGGCTCTAATTCTCCATGGTCTCCTGGTTTTGGTTTTAAAAACGGTACTCGAGTTCTCCTCACTGGTGCCTCCTTGGGCTTGCCAGACCCTTAGTCCTAAGCCTATTACAAGCTTGTGTGGACTAAGTTATACTCGAGAGGACACATTCCCTTATGTCTGTGAGGTGAATAAATTCACACGAAGAAATAAGGTATATGAATCCCGAAGGCTACTTGCTAGGCATGTGCGGTGAATAAATTCACACGAAGGCGTCGCTTTCACCCCCACTTAAATAGGGTTTAGAGCTCGGGTATAGAGCCTGAGATGAAAATTTTGAAAATCTGAAATCATTGAAAAAAAAAGTCAGTACAACTATTTACTTGAAAAATAATCAAAGATAAATAATTGGAATCGGATAAATAAATTAAAATTAAATTTTGCAATTTTCGCTCAAAAAGATAACCAAAAATTAATTTCGGCCTGATTCACTTACCTGTCCCTAGGGATGGCAATGGGTCGGGTCGGGTTTTTAGGTCCCCGACCCGAGAAGAAAGGGTCCCCCACCCGTGACCCGACCCGACCCGAATAAATTAAGGTTTCACCCGACCCAACCCGAATATATGACCTCCCGACCTAACCCGACCCGAAATAATTAAAAAATATATTTTTATTCAATAGAAACAGTGACTTAATTAAAAAAATTATATATAGAGGGGTAATATTGTAATTATCTGTAAATATATAGGTAAAATTATATACATTTTTCGGGTCAGGTCGGGTCGAATTTTTTTCACCCTAAACCCGACCCGAACAGTGCATTAAAAAAAAACCCGACCTGACCCTACCCGAATTCGAATTTTTTTTAAAAAAAATCCGACCCGATCGGGTCAGGTTCGGGTTGAGTTGGCATCCCTACCTGTCCCCAGTAGAGTCGCCAAGCTTTCGCGGCCGTCTTTCGGATGGGCCCGGAATTGGGCTTCGACTTGAATGAATTGGGTTAGAGTCGCCACCGATCACTTTAAAAAAACATTTAGGTGGATCGGACACCATCTTACCTGATCTACGTTTTACCAGAAATGTGTCGGGTTCGGGAGTCGGTTACGGTCAAGGAAGGATTAACACTCTTGAACAACCCTTTCGGTACCAATTAATTTGTCGGTTGTCTTTGATTGCGAAAATTAAAAAAATTAAATTTAATTTTATAAATTTGATTCGAACTAATTACCTTTGATCGATTGAAAATATACCTAAAAATTGAAAATGTTAGATCGTAAAATAAAATATTAAATGAAATGACAGAAACAAAAATAATAATAATAATAAATGTTAAGAAATAAAAAAATTTATTTACGTAAAATGACTCGGTTTCTCTATGTACTGTATTACAAAAGAAACACTTATCTATCACTGAAAAATTAATACGAAAAAAAAAAAGATATTGATAGGTATGCAATCCAACGATACTGATTTTCAATATCGGTAAGTGTTTTTGCTTTGATGACTTCGAATACTATAAAAGCAATTCCGTATAGGTTGAGATTTACAACCATTGTAAAGTCATTCCTACAGCTCGCAAGCACTACTCTTCTTGTTGAATTCAGAGTGATGCAACTCACCATGGACCATATGAAACGGTCTCTACCATTGACGTAAAAGAAGAAAGGACTTTATAAGGTATTCAATCACCAAAATCCGAAGAGAACGAAACAGCAACCAAAATAGTTCCTGCCCGGAAAGCACGACAATGGCAGCAACCCTTCTTTCCTCTTTGAACCACCATCGTGAAAGCTTCATCTGAGATCCTTCGAGCCACTTCGTTTGGTCTCTAGAAAATTTATTTGATAAGGGCCATGGAGAAGGAAATTAGTAAAGCCTAAATCTCAACTCCACAAACAATTCTCAGTATTGGAGAAATAACAGTAATTTGAAGTGAACATTAACTTTTTTTTAATCAAATCAGAAATTGAAAAACATAGATGCAATGATAACATCATATAATTATTGTAAGATAAGCACTCCAAATCATCCAAACAAATCCGTGAAGAAATTCAAACAAAAGATTATTGAAAAAGAAAATAAGTAGGCCAAATACAACAGATCTAAAGTTCACATCACTTATCTCAATCGCGATTCTTCAGCTTCTCGAGTCGCTGGTTTAACTGCTCGATTTTAACAACAGAGAAAAGGATCCAGTACAGAATAAGGGCAGCGGCGATGAGAAGCGCGTGGCGTTGGCTCTTCATGATGGACTTCTGGTGAGGGAGATGTTCGGAAGATGTGCATGACTCGGCGTCACAGCTGGGTCGCGTCTCGTATTTCCAGTATATGTCCATGAGGAGGAAGAGGCAGAAAGGAACCATCGACATGGACGGTTTCAGGAGGTTACACGTGACGGCGATCAATCCCTTGCCGAGTCCGTCGAGGCCTGGAACTTTGAGGAGGAGCAACATGATGGCTTCGGCACCGGCGGTGTAGCCTAGCACTACCCATTCTAGAGCCATTTTGCATGAAAACTGAAAAACATTGTCTAATCCCTCCTTTTGTATTTGTTTGTGCCGGTACCCCCTCCAATTACTTTTTTTGCTTTTTTAGTGCCATCCCCACGATTATACCCCTATTCTTTCAGTGCATTCACGCCATCTATCCCCCCGGTGAACGTGTTCCTCGTCCCCATTTTAATTGAAAAAATATGAGAAGTGCTCCCTGTGTTTTCGGCGTTTGTTGTACGTGAAAGAGTGCGTTTGGAATGTGGGAAGCTAACCACTAGGTGATGTGGTGTTGGGGTTGAATATGGGGCCTGAAAAAAGAAAAAAATATTAATAAAAATAATAATAATAAATATTTTTAAAAATCCGGACAAAAACGGATGTCTATAGATATATTAAGCACTTAGTATAATCGAACTTACGTCTTCTTACATATTATATAGATAATAATACCATCAATTTGAATTCAATCAATATGAAAAATAATCATTTCCAATTTCAAGTTGGAAAAAAATGAATTTTAAAACATTCTTACTCATGAAAACATTGGACTCAAAATAGATATTATATAAGGAAAATTATCCTAAAACATTGCATGGAGTTAAAATATTCTACAAGTAGGACTGAATAGAAAACATGTGATATTAAGGGTTTAAACTTTAGATTTTGAGATTAAGATTTTATAATTTAAATTTTAAATTTTTAAAATTTATTCAAATATATGTGATAATATTTAAGTATTATTTATAAAATTAAAATATTCCAGTGACAGTGTATGGCATATTAACATTATAATATAATAATTTTAGTTAAAAAGGAATGTATATTACAAAAATTGGGCCTTGTAGCAAAATTAAACCAAGTAAATTGGGGTCTAATCTATTTTCATTTCATCACCCAATCTGGTATCGTATGATGGAGAAAGTTGAGTTACTTGCATGTCTCCAAACTATAATCCTCATTCTAAAATGATCTTTAAATTTTTAAATATTGTAATTTTATCTTTAAACTATGACTCTCTTTCTAAATTAATCCCAAAACTTTTTGAATATTTTAATTTCATTCCCAATTTCATCTAAATATATAATTAGTTTCATCATAGTTTAAACTATTTTTTTTAAACATATAATAATATAATCTGGACTATGGAATCTATTAACAAGAGATGCAATGTATAGTTTGGGATAAAATGAATATCATAATTTCAACTGTGTTTAGAAATCCAGAAGCAATCTGGCTGATGCCTGATGACCTTCAATTCATATAATTTTTGAACCCTTATCCTCCTCCTCCTCCTCCTCCAAACCAGAAAAGAGAAGAATGAGAAGCGGCAGAAACAAGAACACCGGGCAATGTAGATTGCTCAGTCCATACACCATGCAAGACACACTCCCTTTCATCTCCAAAAACAACCCTTTCCCTCCATTGCTTTACTCCTACCACCTCAAACACTATGATTTCCCCTCGCTTTCTCGCCATAGAAACCTCCATTTCCCCACCCTTTCCTCCAAAACCTCTCTTCCCCAAAACCCCAACCTCCAAATCCCTTCCATTTCCACTATCCCGCCGCCGCCACAACCAAACTCCCGCTCCGACTTCCAAGAGAAAATGCTTTACCTCGACTCCATCGGCCTTGATTTCTTCTCTCTAATCCAGCACCACCCTCCCATCATATCTTCTTCTCTCCATCATCTCAAATTCACCGTCGATTTCCTCGCCTCAATGAACTTCACCACGCTCGAGCTTCGCCGAATCCTCTCCATGTGCCCCCATATCCTAACCGTCGAACCGACTTCCCTCCTCCCTGTCTTCACCTTCCTTCTCCGCGAAGCCCGCGTCAACGGCTCCGATTTAAAGAGGGTTATCAACAGACGGCCCAGATTACTGGCATGCAACGTCGAGACCCAGCTGCGTCCCACCCTGTATTTCCTCCAAAGCATCGGAATCTCCGAGGTAAGAAAACTCACTTCCTTATTGTCTTGCAGCGTGGAAAATAAACTCAACCCTCGCATCGATTACTTCCAAAAAAATCGGATTCTCTCACAGGCAATCCATTTCAATGTTCCGTACGTTTCCCCAACTGTTTAATTACAGTGTTAAGGAAAATTACGAGCCCAAATTGAATTACTTTGTGGTGGAAATGGGTAGAGATTTGAGAGAAATCAAAGAGTTCCCTCAGTATTTTTCGTTTAGCTTGGAAAACAGGATAAATCCGAGGCACCAAACTTGTGTTGAAAAAAGGGTTTGTTTTCCTTTGCCTGCTTTGTTAAAGACGAGTGAAGTTGAGTTTAATAATAGACTGGAGGCTTGTTGTAATTCAACGTTGCCGTTGAAGGGGTCTCCTTTATGGTGTAGAGAAAACTGTGATACTTAATACTATGATTCAATATACAGTGAAAAAAATAGTTGATTTTTATGTGACTTGCCTTCATTATTGGAGCTGCAATTGGATGGTGCCTAAATTGGGGCGAATTTCTAAAATTTTAGTGGATGGCAGAGGGCTGAAAACAGATTATTAATAGAAAATACAGAGAAAATATCTTAAATATATGATATTTGAAAATTTCAGGGGCGACTCTTCAGCCTTTCCCATCTCGGTCCATCCATGGTAGTAGGAATCCCTCCCAATGGCCACCTAAATGCACAGCTTTAAGGGTAGAGATGGCACAGTGGAACAATCCCACCGGCCATCGAAGTGCACCCAAAGTAGATTAAAATGAAGATGAATGGCGTGAGTAGTATTTTCTTTGACAGTTTTCGAATAGTTCTCGGGTATCAAATTTGTGATTAGAGGTCGTTGTTGGCCTTCTTGTTATCTAAGTGTGTTTGTTGGTTTGTTATATTTGCTCGAAGCTGTTCATTTGTGGGATAAATTGCATTTTGCCTTTGAATCGGTTGAGAATATTTTCTCATTTCTCTTTTACAGGGTAATGTAGTATAACCAGGTGAAGCAAATATATGTCTTCATTATCTTGGGTCCATACTATAACTTTTTGTTCATTGTATTCGAATGGTTTAGTTCTCTGTTAACTGAAGTCAAGTAATAGTATCCTTGATGGTTTCTAGGCCAGTTATGATGGCGAGCTTAGGCTTTGGCGTGATAATTTACACATTAGTTGAAACTATGGTTCATAGATTTAATTAGTTGCATTCAATTCGAGTCAAATCGAAAAGATTAATTTTTTCGAGTCGAGTTTTGCTCACTCCTAGGGTTGAGGTGGTTTGTAGGATGAGAGACTGAACCACTGATGGAAGAAACCATGGTGTTTAATCAGTAATGCCATTAAACAAGCTTTTACTACTGGGCACATTTGATTGCCCACTTGCACCTATTTACATATTATAAGTTATTATTCATTTCATCAAAGTTAAAATTGTTATCTCATTTGCCTTAAATCCTTAATTTTATTGAGAAAAAGGTAAACTATATGTTTAATCACTCAATTATTCTTGTTCTATTTTAGTCGTTCAACTATTTTTCTTAAAAAAACTATCATTAAACTTAAGTTTTTGTTTTGTTTTGATTACATGAAGTTAATCTATATTAATTTTACCATGTCAGTAGCATAAGCAAAATATAAAGTAGCATAAGCAAAATATAAAAGAAAAATGATTTCTTAAAGAAATCAATGAATAAAGTTTAATATGAAAATGAAATTACTTTCACGTTATATTTCTTGATATGATAAAAGTACGTTTAATTGAGATTGAAAATAATAAAGATCAAAAATAAAAAAGATGATTGTTTATTTTAAACCACAGACTTTATTACATAATAAATATTTAGTCATAAATGACAATCTTATTCTGTCGTGGTTCCTCGTTAAAGAGTAATGTGTGGTTTACACCTTAAGCACTCCCCATATGTTCACTTCAAATAATCTGATTTTTCTTTTGATTTCAATTTTTAATATGCTCTAAGGCTCCTCATAGTTTTGTTGATGTCTTTCTACAAATGTGACCTCGTCGTTTACCTTAAGACCTTTCTCCATTGCAAATTGGGGCCAACTAAAAGACACACAATTCCCCAAACTGTTCATGTGCATGGGATATGCCCAGAAATGTCCACTTTTTCTTTAGACTATCTATAACAACAACGGAAAACCATATGCCTTCACGTTAATACAAATAATGTATTTAAGTAATTAAATTGTTTGTGTCCTCCCTTGCAGTTTTCTCTTTTTCACGTCAAGTCCCTGCGATTTTCTTTTGCTTGGAATTTAATACCTCGTGTATTACGGTGTATTTCCCGAAAAATTATCGGTGATCAGTATATTTACCGATCTAACACCGGTCAAATTATATTTTCCGATCTAACACCCGTAGCAGTAAAGCGCACCCCCTGAACCGCGCTATATGTTGATTTGGCACCACGTGGGGTATAGCGCGCCCCCTGCACTGCGCTATACGCTGACATGGATTACACGTGTGTATAATGCGCCCTCTGATCCGCGTTATACGCCACGTAGGGGTATAGCACGGATCAGGGGGTGCGCTATACGTCACGTAGGGGTATAGCGCGGATCAGGGGGCGCACTATACGCCACGTAGGGGTGAATTATATTTAACGCGGTCCCTGGTCCACGCTATATCTTTTATCTGAATAATTACATATAGCGCGGTGCAAGTACCGCGCCTTATATGGTTATAAATACCTCATCTGCCGGTTAAGTTTCTCACATCTCCTCGCATCTCTCCTCTCAACTTATAAACTAATACAACAATTCTGTCAACGAATAATAATTCTGGCAATCTTCTCATACTTAATTTAGAAGTTCGTGCGATTTTTCGTTATAAGGTAATTTTGTTATAATTTTTTAATTATACTTATTGTTTATTATCATTATTTGAAAAAAAAATATTATACTAATTATTTTCAATTAATATTTATGTTTGTAAAATTGAAAAGCGGGAGCATACGTCGAAATAGTTGTGCGGAGCAGGTAATAATATAAAATTATATTATTTAAATTATTTACGTTGATGTGTAAAAAATTTATTGTGTTATATTTTCGTTCATATATAATTTATTTAATCAGGTTTGTTTCAGTTATTTTTTTTTTTGCAGATATAATATTGCCACACTTTTACACTCAAAGAATGGCGCGACTTTCAGCTATTGTTTATTATGATGGTGAAATTCGAGAGAAGATGAAACCGGCGTTGTTTTCGTATCAAATGAGCGTATTAAAATATCATTCAAGAGAAACATAACTCTTGAGGAGCTGATAACGAAGATTTCGAGGAAGATTCATGTTGGAAGTAGTAGAAGAATGTCGTCGTTGCAGTACAGATTTCCAACATCATCGTTGTCATTAACTTATACAGCATTCGAACTTTCGAACAACGATGATGTTCAAATGATAGTTGAAGCTCAAAGTAATTATTCAAACGCCGCTATTGAGATGTATGCATATTTTTTTCAAGTGCGTGCTGTTCGGGGTCAATCTTTAAGCTCACACTATGGGCTGGCTGAACAAGTTAATCAAGTTGACAGCCCGACTACAGTAATGTGTAATGATTTTAATGCCATAATGGGGAGACATTCATCCGCAACTCCTTACGATATGTACCGAGGTGGGTCCACGAACAATCCGTATGGAAACACCGCTTCCAATTCAAGGGGAAGGCATTCATCTGCAAATTTCTTTGACCATATGGAGATGCCATCGATGCAACCATCTGTGCAGTTTCCATTTGACACGATGGCTTCAAGCTCCAGGGGGAGGCATTCGACTGCGAGCTTTTTCGATCTCAATGTCGATATGCCTTCCAGTTCAAGGGGAAGGCGTGCAAGTAGTAGGTTCTTCGACCTAAATGTGGAGAGCATGGAGGAACCATCATCTCCACCAGAAGAACTGCTTCGTGAGCCTGGTGCGGATGGTGCTGAGACTGGACTATTCATTCACCCAGAATCACCGCAATTTAACTCCGATGATGATGAAGTTTCAGGAAATGTGGCACAAACTGACCCTCCTGCACACATGTATGAAGCTGATTATGGTGCAATGTACGGGCCAGAATTTGCAGATATGCCTCATCTCGGTGACTATGGATATTACTCATCAATAAATAATGGTGAGTTATCTTTAGGCATGGAGTTCTCAAGCAAAGAAGAAGCGGTGATGGCTATAAAAAATTACAATATCCGTAATTCTGTTCAGTCCAGAGTCAACCGATCCACGACCGAAAAATATGTATGCTACTGTGCCTGACGCGAAAACGGATGCAATTGGATGGTTCGCGTATCGAAAAGGAAGAGGAAAAACAACATATGAGAACTAACAGTATAGAACGATCCTCATACATGTTGTGCTGGAGCGGTCAACTAAGATCATCCCAACTTGGACTCTGAAGTGATATGACAAGCCATCATGCCCATGGTAAAAGCAAGCTCTCATATAGCTGTTGCAGTGTTGATTTCAGCTATATAATCACAGTATGGGTAAACTGTCTCCTATAAAAAAGCTTGGTTGGCAAAACAAAATGTCATTGTCAAACTTCATGGCGAATGTGATACATCTTACAACGAATTTCCAGGTTGGTTTAGGCTGGTGCGGACGTTGAATCCTGGGACAATTGTGGACTTTGAAACCTCCTATGCATACCATAATGATCGAGTTCTTCGCGATCGAAGCAAATTCTACCGGGTTTTTTGGAGTTACCCACAGTGCGTTAATGCTGCTAAATACTACAAGCCTGTGGTTCAGATCGACGGGGACTTTCTTGTATGGAAAATACAAGCAAGTTTTATTATTGGCAGTTGTCCAAGATGGCAATCGCAACATTCTTCCAGTTGTTTTTGCTCTTGTCGAAGGAGAAGATACAAATTCTTGGGCTTTTTTCCTCCGAAATTTACGTGCACATATTATCACGAGGGAAAACAATTGTGTCATTTCAGATCGCGGAGTTGGGATCAAAGCAGTAATGGAGTATTTGGGTCCAATATGGCAACCACCCTTTGTCTAACATAGGTATCCGACACATTGCTGCGAACTATCATGGAAGGTACAAGAAGAATGATGAGCGTCAATTAATTGTGCGCATGGGTAAGTGAAAGTAAGTTAGTAAGTTATACATTTTTTGATCATTTTAATTTTGCAAAGAAAGCAAGTTAGTAAGTTATACATTTTTTGATCAGGGTTACGAACTACTTCCTCGAACGTTTGAATCAATGCTTCAAGATTTGCGAGCGAAGAACGAGGAAGGATACGATTACATCAGCCTCATCGATAAAGAAATGTGGACGAACGCATATGATGGTGGATATCGATATGGACACATGACAACCAACTTGGCTGAGGCAATCAATTCAACCTTAAAGGGCGCACGTCACTTACCTGTAGCGGCTTTGGTAAAAACTATATATTTTCGTTTGGGGGTGCTTTTTTCGAAGCTCGGGGGACAAGCTCAAACCTGGATGCAAGGCGGTCATGTCTATCACCCTAGATTAGTTACAGATCTACAGGAAAAAATTGATGCATCAAATGAAATGTCTGTAACAAGCTTCTCTAGAAGGCATGAAATGTTTCGTGTCACAAAGTTGTCGCGACCTCTTCAAGGGATTGAAGCTGTGTCGTTAAGAGTAAATCTAAGGGACAGAACGTGCGACTGCGGGTTTTTTCAAGCTCTGAAGTATTCATGCTCTCATGTGATAGCAACTTGCTC